CTTTACATTCCCTTCAACAATGTAGAAAGATTCCCAAAAACAGACAGAATCATAAAAGCTGTCAGAGTAAAGAAAAAAAATCACATGTAAAGGTAAACCTATTAGTACTGCAGCATGCTTCTCAATGTAACATTTAAAGGCCAGAAGAGCATGGTGTAAAGTATTTCAAGCTCTAAAATCAAACAAACTTCCAACCCAGACTAATATATCCTACAAAACTTCCTTCCAAAATAGATGGAGAGATAATGACACTCCATGACAAAGAACACCTTAAAACAGCGGTGGTGAATCTATGGCACACATGCTACTGTGTTTTTCTTTTAAGACAAAAGATGACAATGTAAAAAAAAAAGAAAAAGAAAAAGAAAAAAAAGATGTCAGTGTTGAGTTACTTTTTCTAAACTAAAACATGAGTATTCAGGTTTAATTGCAGGGCTGGCACTTTGCAATAACTGAGTTTTGGGTTGCAGTTGGCATTTGGTCTCGAAAAGGTTCACCATCACTGCCTTAAGAGATGTGTGGACAGGGCCAGGGATGTAGCTCAGTGGTGCTGCACCTGCCTAGCAAGTGCAAGGTCTTGAGTTCAACCCCCGGCTCCACAAAAAGAAGGGGGGGGCGGTGCACACCAAAAAATACTTCAGATATCTAGACAGAGAAAAAGAAGCCAACAAAGCCCAAAACTCATATGGAATGAATGTATCAAGCAAAGCAAAAAATTAAACAAAAAAGGAAAAATAAATGACTCATCTACAGAAAAAGAACATAATGACAGGAAAAAATAAATATCTTTCAATAATAAATCTCAATGTAAATGGCCTCAACTCCCCAATTAAAAGACACAGACTGGCAGACTGGATCAAAAACAGAATCCAATAGTCTGTTGCATTTAAGAAGCACATCTAATCCAAAAGAAGTTCACAGACTAAAAATTAATGGGTGGAAAACAATAGTTCATACACCAGGATCCTGAAAACAAGCAGGGACAGCAATGTTGCTCTCAGAAAAAGGAACTCTCAAGCTAAAACTGTCAAAAGAGGCAAAGAAGGTCAGTACATATGATAATGGCAACAATCCAAAAGGAAGAGATAACACTCGTAAACGGATATGCACTGAATATTGGAGCACCTAATTTCATAAAACAAATACTAATGGCATAAAAGACTAATAAAACCAACACAGTCATAGTGGGTGACCACAATACTCCACTTTCACAAAGAGACAGATCAACTAAACAAAAACCAGCAAAGAAATAACGGTATCAGAGCTGAACCACACCTTTGAACAATTAGACTTAACAGATACCTGCAGGTGTTCTACCCTACTACCTTTAAGGAGATTAAAACACCAATGCTTCCCAAACTCTTTAGTGAAACTAAAAGAGGAGGAGTGCTTCCAGACACTGTTCTGGAAGCCAGCATCACTCTGACCCCAAAACCAGACAAAGACTCAAATAAAAAGAAAAGTATAGGCCAATCTCCTAATGAACAACAATGCAAAAATCCTCAATCAGACAAGAGCAAATAAAATACAACAAGTCATCAAAAAGATCATACATTATGACCAGGGATGCAAGGACAGTTCAAAATATACAAATCAACAAATGTAATGTAACACATAAACAGAAGCAAAGATAAAACCACACGATCATATCAAGAGATTCAGAAAAAGCTTCTGACAATATCCAACATCCATTTATAATAATAATTTTTTTTAAATCCTAAATCTGGGTGTGGTGGCACAAGCCTGTAATCCCAGTTCTTGGGAGGCTGAGGTAGAAGGACCACAGCAAGTTCAAGGCCAGCTTGACATAGTGAGACCCTGTCTCAAACAAACAAACAAGCAAACCCTAAAGAAAATAGGTATAGAAGGACCTTACCTGAATCTGATAAAAGCCATATATGACAAACCAATGATGAAAAGCTATGGGGGGAAAGCTGAATACTTTCCCTCTAAAATTAGGAAAAAAAAAAAAAAAAAAAAA